CCCATCTCAGAGATGAAGTGAAATAGACAAGTGAAGAAATACGGAGCCAGAACAGGGCTCCGGGTACGCTCACTTTCCCACAGATGATAATCGGGAGCTGAACACCCCCACACCCTCAGGCCAGCGCCAGCTTGTGGAAAGCTGGGCAGCGAGAGAAGCCTTCCAGCCTCCACCTTGGATCCATGGTGAGCACAATGGTGCCTGTCCCTCCTGGCTCAGGCCTGGGTTTTCCAGGAACTCCCCTTACTGATGTTTCACCAGAACGTGATTCTGGAAGTAGTCCCCCAAAGGTGTCCCTCTGTTCCTCTCCAAATGTTTTCTGAAAGCTCCACCTTGCCTTTCAAGTATTATGGAGGAATGTAGCATTGATGGCCCCGTGAGCTGGTGGTCCCTGAGCATCTAAAATAGGATATCTTCTCAAGGTGAGTGTAAACGGATCTCAGGGAGATTGGGACTCACATCGCTGTGGCTGTGCAGGCACCGGGAACATCTGGAGATCGCTTGTCTCTTTCCTGCCCCTGGGTTGCTTTGTGGAGACCCCTTGGTGGCTTCCTCGGCTCAAGCCCTTTGTAGGGGACCTTGGGCAGATGTATCTCTGAAAGTATATTTATTCACAGAGACAGCTGTGGGCATGGAGGTTGGAGATGAGCTCTACTAACTCACATAATAGCAAAAATGGAAAGCATTGTGCTAAGCTTTTTTAGAACAGCTGCAAAATTTCTAAATTACATAATGGACTCTTTAAAACTTAAAATTCAGATATAATTACACACAACGAAGTGCATCCATCTTAAGTGTACAGTTTGACTTGTTTTTGATGAATGCATATGCTACCATGCTTTTGAGGCTCATCTATGCTTTTGTATGCATTAATAGTTCTTTCTTTTTTATTGGTGTGCAGTACTGCGTTGAATGGATAGATCACAATTTGTTTGCCCTTTTCCCTTTTGAGATACATTTGGGTCGTTTCCAGTTTTTTTGTCTTTAGGAGCAAAGCAAAGCTTCTATAACCTATAGGTTATAGGAGCAAAGTCCCCTACAGGTCTCTTTGTGGATATATTTTCATTTCTTTTGGTTAAATTGCTAGAGGTAGAATTGCTGGATCATGAGTTAGGTATTTATTTAACCTCACAGGAAACTGCCAGTTTACAGAATGCACTCAATGAACCTGATTACTTATGAAGTCAATTCTCTGACATTTTTTGTTTCATGATTTGTTTTTGTCTTGAATTGCATTGATAGCATATGGATAGTTATTCTTTGAAATATATCCTTAATAATAACACCTTGATTAACTATACAATTTTAGTGATCCTTTAATGCTTCTGATTTGTTTAAACAAACAGCTTGGAACCTGGAAGAATCCTACTGGACACCTGGGATGATCTTTCATGATCTCTCCCATAATTTTTTTATTTTCTTTAATATTTTATACATACAGAAATATGTGTAATGTATGTGTTAGTTATAAGCATAATTACAAAATAGAAACCTGTAAGTCTACCACCGCATCCGAGGATGAGCTTGTTTCCCAGGAACACTGCATGTGTTTAGCGGTTCACTCCACTTCTTCCAGAAGTAACCAAGACCCTGGGTTGTGTGCTCTGCATGAATCCCCTTGCTAAGACAAAACCAAAGCATAACAACAACAAAAATATTATAGCCTGTATTTAAATATTTTGCTTTAAAATTTGCCTCATGGTTCTTGTTTTCCCTGCTTTTAAGAGCTTTGTCAAATGGGAGTATGTGTATAGTTTTTTGGAACTTGACTTTCTTTACCTAACATTGTGTTTCAAGGCTCTGCTGCTGTTGCGTATGGCTGTAGTTTATTCACTCACTGCTGAATGGCATTCCTTTCTGGGAATATATCACGGTACACTGTATTACTTGTCAACTGTCATTTGTAGGGCTTCTCATATTTTTCACTCCATATATATTACACTGGAGGGGGGGTGAAACCTGGTACATTTAGCAGAGTAATTTGAGATATAACTCTTTTCAAGTAAACAGTTTTTATAAAGTGAAAATGAGCAACCAGCTTCAGTTCTAAAATAAGGGAAATTTATAGGATACCTGAGGAAAACTGCATAAAACAAAATGTGTGACACATTGGCAGTGTAGTTGTAAAGACTCCAATTAATGCTTTACTACATGGTTTTATTTCCAAGGTTGAAAAAATAAGTTTGACTTTGGGATATAGAATATAATAATTGAAGAAAATACAAATCACCTTCTTTGTGTAATCAGGGTAGAGCTGAAAGGCAATCTAAATTTTGATTCTGTTTAAATATTAAGGCATATAATTAAAAAATAACTTCACTGTCTATAATAATTTAATCTTATTGATGTCTTAGTACTTTAGGATAAAACAACATTTTAAAAAATCACAGATGAAAAGTCATTTTCTTTACAAAAAAATCCTACAATTTAAGTAATTGTATGCATTTCTCTTTATTCCATATACCCCTTATGTTCTCAGGGACAAATGAATGAATTTACTAATACTAAAACTATATTGTGTAGTATTTAAAGATTTTATATTAGCATCACTCTTTTAAAAACTCAACTCTAAACTTTTGTCTTAATTTAGAAGTATGTATTGTAAAATCCTGAATACTAAATATAATGAAGATATGATATTGATATTCCTTTACATTTAATGGCAAAATGGATCTGTAGGCATCAAGACCAACTTCATGTAGGGTATTGTCTGGAGAAATATTTTAAAATAAATTTAAAAAATATAAGTAGATCAAATTTTAATTATTCATATGGCAGTGCCTACTTTAAAAATGATATGTGCTAAGTTTCAATTTCTTTTTAAAGATTCTAATTTCCTTCTTTCTTTGTTAATGTCCAGGAATATCTAAAACTGGAACATTTTAAAATTAACCTGAATTTCAGTTAAACAAAACAATCCCATATGAATGACTTTCTTAAGTAAGAAAAGATTTATTTCCCTCTATCCAACTGACTCACTGAATTGAGCTAAAAATTTCCAACAGGCAAATGATGTAGGGAGTAAATATAGGGGGGAAAGGGCTAGGTTTCCATTATAATAGCTTTTGATTTGTTTTCAGCTCTTAATTTAAAAAATTATTTACGAACGATGGGATGCATAATGTAACGTGGAAATCTTTTACAATTAGAGTAAAAAAGGAAACCTACTTTCCTTTAGAACAGATCCGATCTTACCAGACAGCCTGATTATTTATGAGACAAACACTTCTACATCTCGACACCCACAAGTCTTATTAGCCATCTTCTTTTTATTTACTGTTGACATCAATTAGCCTGAGTCATGAAGCCGGACCACATTAAAGGCGACACGTGGTCCAATCACTATGTTTAAAAGTCCACGTATTTCAAACTCCTCTCTCTAGACCTCGCTGGGCTGTTTCCCGTTTTGAGGACCTGGTTTCCGCAGCATTTATTCATTAGATAGCAGTCCAGGGCCAGGTTCTCTTTGGGGAAACCCCTCCTCGGGCACCTTCAAGAAGACCACGGAGGAGACCGGCGGGCGCTAGTTTCCAGTCCTTTACCGAGCAAAGGAGGGAAGAGAGACGCGCCCGGAAGGACGCGAGCAGGTGCGGGTGGGCTCCCGCAGTGGCCGCTCGGCGATCGGGCGCAGCGTGTCCGCGTGCCGCGAGCCCGGCCGGGAGACTCCGGTCCCCGGCCCCGAGCGCATCCTCCGGGGACCCCCCCGGCACGCCCCCTTGGCCTCCCGGGGCCCCTGCAGCCCCGCACCGAGCACGCGCCCTGGCCGCCGCCCGCAGCCGCCCACGTGGTGGGGCCAGCAGATGAGCGAGTCGGCGAGCCGCTCCCCCGACCCGCCGCCGGTCTCCAGAGCCGGGCCCGCGCAACCCAGCTCGACCCCTTCGCCCGCTCCTGGCCCCCGCGGGCCGTCTCCCCTGGCTCCCGGGCCCGAGCCGCGCCCTTCCCCCCGGCTGCCCGGGAGTTCCGAGACTGTGGGCTCCCCTGGGGCGATGCCGCGGCCGTCCCGGCCTTGCGCCAAAGTGCCCGCTTAGTAGCCTGGTTGTGTGTGGGGGGTTCTCCTTTCTCCCAGGTATGCCCCTCCCGCCACATTCGAGCTGTCCAGCAGGCTGCGAAAAAATGCCGCATGCACGCACTTATTTATTTATTTTGCAACAGCTGCAAGACACAATGAAGCTTTTCAAGAACCGGGGCAACGCGCGCTCCAGCCGCGCTGTTGTTGTTTTCAATGAACCTCTCGGGCCTCACGCTCCCCGCCCAGCCGGCCCCAGCCCCTCCCCCGCTCCCCAGCTTGGTCCTCCGCCGGGCAGGGCCCGGCGCCGGGGGCATTGTTTTTGGAGTCTTGCGGGAGGGGCGCGCGCGTGCAGGCTGGCCGGCGCAGTGCGGTGGGGGTGAGAGCGGGGGCGCGCGCGCGCGCGGGAGCCTTTGCGCGCGGGCGGGGCGCGGGGGCGGCACCTCGCCGCTTCACCGCCCGCGCCGGGGCTCCGCTCCGCACGTCCCTGTGTTCCTGGGCTCCGGCTCTTGGCGCGCGCCGGCCGGGTCCGGCCCTCCGCGCGCCGGGGCTGCGGCTGTGGCCGCTCCAAAGCGCGCGCGCGTGCGCGTGTGAGTGTGTGTGTGCGCGACCCCGAGCGCACGCGCGCGCCAGGCCCCAGTGTGTGGCAGCGGCGGCGGCAGCGGCGCGGCGGGGCTGAGGCTCTTGTTTACCAGCATTAACTCCGCTGAGCGGAAAAAAAAAAAAGGAAAGAAAAAAAAAAAAAAAAAAAAAAAAACCAAAAAACC